TATAGGACTTGGGACCTATGTGTTACGTATTACGTCTCGCGTACCACGTCTTCACGAGTACCATCCTGCCGAGCTACGTAGACTACGCTCCTAACCGCCAAATTCTAGCTCCCTTCCTCGAATCGCTTGGCCAAACTTTACCCGAATTAGTCACTAATTTTCAACTATCGTCAACTCCTGGCGCTGCGCAGTCATTTCCTCTGTCTTTAATTCACATGCATACCTATGTATACATGCACCTTGTAGATATGCGTATATGCACGCGAAGGAACACGTAGAATATATATTAGGTCGGGGAAAAGGAAATCCATTATTTTTTCGCCTGATGGCTATAATGATATATATATATATATATCTCGTAAAGTATTATCCAGAAAAGTTTAGACTTGTGCTCGTTGTGAAAGTGACATTCCATACTAAAAAAAATTCTTCTATAGTTTCTTGATTGGTTGATTCACTTTTGAGTTATAGGGTGGCAAAGGATGGAAGCTAACAAAGAGAAAATATTTTACAATTTTGCTTTGACAAACGTGAAAATGCAAGCCAGGCGGCTGAAATCGTGAATAGTGTTTATGGTCCCGATACCGTCACAGCCAGTTACGCGCAACTTTGGTCTCGTCGATTCCGTTCCGGTATTTTCGATGTTAAAGATGCACCTCGCACAGGTAGGCCAGTCGTCGAAAATCTCGATAGAATCATGGAAATGATCGAAGCAGATCGGCATGTTAGCAGTCGTCGTAGCATCGCCCAGGAGCTGAAGATCGATCGCAAAACAGTTTTAAACCATCTTCATAAAGCTGGATTCAAGAAGAAGCTCGATGTTTCGTTGCTACACGAATCGACGTGAGAACACTTAATGGATCGAATTTCCATCTGCGAAGTCTTGGCGGAACCGGAACGAAATCGACCCATTTCTTAAACGGATGGTGACTGTGGATGAAGAATGGGTCGTATACGAGAATATTGTGCGAAAACGGTCGTGGTCAAAGCGCGGTGAAGCAACTGGAACACGGTGGCCAAACAAGGAATAACCGCCAGGAAGGTTTTGCTGTGCATTTGGTGGGACTGGAAAGGAATCATCTACTATGAGCTGCTTCCATATGGTCAAACACTTAATTCGGACCTCTACTGTCAACGGTCGGACCGCTTGAAGCTAGCGATCGACCGGAAGCGGCCGCAATCGGCCAACAGGAAAGATGTTGTGTTTCATCAGGACGACGCCAGACGACGCCAGACCACGCACGTCTATAGCGACTCGCCAGAAAGTCCGGGAACATGATTGGGAAGTTCTGATGCATCCACCTTATAGTCCGGACCTGGCACCAAGCGATTACCATCGTTTTTCATCATTGAAAAACTTCCTTAGTGATAAGAAAATTGGCATCAAGAGGAGATTGTGAAAACAGCTTCATCGAGCTTCTCGGCACTGGGGACCAGGGCTTCTATGAGAAGAAGCATTACGAAGTTACCTTAAAAATGGCACAAAAATTATATAACAAAACGGTACATGTTTGACCTAAATCGGGACAATCCGAACCATGTTAAATGAAGTCTTGAAGTAAACGTAGAAATAATGGATTTCTTTTTCCCCAACCTAATATAACTTGAGACGCGTGTATGCCATCTCCTTGATCGAACTGGTCCAGAACTAGTCCGATCCTCCGGGTTAGAGAGAGAGAGAGAGAACGAGTGGCGAAGAGACGGATAGAGAGATAGAAAGAGACGAGTAGTGAAACCAGGATATTAAAGCCTACAGCGTCCCGCTATCTCGTTCCGCCGAACCTTACGAAGCTACGAAAGGCAAAAGGGCTCCAGTCTTTTATATAATTCCAAGGACTTTATTATTCCGCGAACGGGACGCTCCCCGTCTGCTACCTATAAAATACTGTACCTGTATACGTGTATAATAGTTACGTCACCGACAGCAGGGAACCTCGCCAGTGCTTAACGCAGGGGATTACCCGTGAGCGTTAGTTTTAAATGGGAGAACGCGGCTTTTAAGCGGCTTACCTGTAAAACTCTCCGCGAGCAGTGGTACCACCCCTAGAGGATTTCTTGTCCGGTTTTCATGAATTCACGACAGAGTCTCTGGTCAGATGAGCACAGACCTAGGGTTATGCCCTTAGGGGGATGACAAGTTTCAACTGCCCTTTGATAACCCTCGTGTACGCGCGAACTCTCCGAGAGAAACTGTCCGTTCTGTGGTCGCTGAAGCATAATACGGTTTGATGACGTCATTAAGTCCGAGCTGGCTTATTGTTTCTCGTAAAATCTATACCTATGTAACTGCTCTCGAGAGAGAGACGACAGGGGGTGGGGGGAGGTGGACGGACGAGAGACCGTGTCCTACCAGTAAGCATCCTCGTGTCCGTCTCGTCAGCCTCACTCACCCTTCGCTTAACTCGAACTCCCCGGTGGTCCGGGACCATCGGCATCCCCAGAGCGGGCAATAAACCGGACATAAACTTATAATTAAATACCTCTAATGGCGCATGTCAGAAGGTAGTGGTCGTGTAAGGGCGCTTAGACGCTGTACGCTATGGGAATTCTATGCCCTTGGCCCTATACCGCTGCGCCTCCCTCGCTACCCCTTAGACATGCTGGATTTAATATAGGTCGATGTCCACGCTGGGCTTTTGCGCTCTCGAGAGAAAGACAGCTCGGCCGGCGGGATCACATGGTAAATATACTGTAAGGCCAATAGGGTATAGTTGCCGCTGATAAAGAGATTTCGCCGAAAACTGACGTACCGGAAACGACTGGTAAATGTTGCTTCCGTGTTACCGTGGACAGAACGGAATTGTTTTCTGGTCACTGATAAGTCAAATGCGATGGACGATGATAAAAAAAATATATATTTATGGCATGTACTATTGGCACTTTTTTGAAGCTCCCCCTTCCCCCTCTTTTTTTCTTTCTTATAGGCATTTAATAAACGTAAACAGTCGTTTCCATGCAAATTATACATGCTTCGTATAATGGCCCCTTGTTTAATTCAAATTCATTGCCAGTAAAACTAATACTGTTTCCTGCCAATGAACTTGATTCGCGTAGTGTATATCACTTAACAAAAACAGCCCAAAGCATAAAGCTGAGCGGGCAATAAAATTGATATATGGTTTATGAACGTAGTATAAATGCTTACGGGATATTCCTATAAAAGAGGGGGGGGGGCAGTCTCCTATCCACTCCCCTCGAATGATGACTGAAGATACTTACGCTAGAAACGAATGGCGAGGGTTAGGTTGTATATGTCGGGTAAGCGAGATAAAAAGAAAGAAGGAACGAACGAACGATGTCGAAAAAATGATACGATTCTGGCTATCGACGTGATCACGGGCCATTAGGCGCGTGAATACTACGACAGCGCAGCGCGATAAATAGCCTTGAAATATGGAGGCAAAGCGTCCTAGGACACGGAATCGTTTGGTAATTCTTCCCGTAGTTTCCGTAGGGATACCCCTTATACTATCCCTTATACTATCCGGCACTACTTTTCGAGCTATCCCTTATACTATCTTTACCTTCCAGCCCTCCTGCCCCCCTCCCCCC